TTTAAGAGAAAGAACACAGATTATGCAGCTATCCCCATCACAGGAACCCTTTGGGAAGCTGGCCACCCAGGACTTCCACGGCAGCGGGGCACCTCCCTGGTACCTTCTCTTAGTACCTTCTCCCACTCGGCGCAGTGTTTGTGAGCTCCACCGCCCTGCAGGCAGGGAGCAGTCCACTCATCCTCATCCTTGGTGTTTCTCAGTCCACTCTTGACCGACATCTGAGCCTTTCGGGTTCTTGGGTGCTGTCAACGGGACAGCTTTGGCCACACCTCCTTGGCTCTTGAGTGGCTGGGCCACAGGGAAGGTAGGACATGGTGGCTGTTTGCCAGAGGCTGTACCAGTCTGCCCCCAGGCCTGGGACAGGGCAGGTCATGCTGCGCATCCTCGTCACTATCAGGTGGCCAGGCTTCACTGGTGGGCTGTGGCTTCAAGTGGCACTGCCCTTGAGAGGAGTGTGCCGGGCAAGTGACCAGTCCACTCTGGCCAGTGGCCCTTCCAGCACTGCTGTTCTATTGGGTTGTTTTGTCTTTTCCTGAGCTGTGAGAGCTCGGTACCTTCTGGAAGGAGAACCACTTTTTCTTGCGCTAGTTGGCCATTTGGACATCTTTTGTGAAATGCTTGTTCAGATCTTTACCTCATTTTCAATTACAAGTTTTTGGATTAATATATAAACACACATATAAATAGCAATGTGAGTACCATCTGAGTGGTAGAGACATACTTATGTGTATTTTAGTGTTTCATTTTAATTACACTATTGACATACTGGCTAACCCAGGGGCGCTTAACCACTGAGCCGCATCCCCAGCCCTTTTGTACCTTCTATTTTGAGACAGTCTCACTAAGTAGCTAAAGGTCTTGTTAAGCTGTGAAGGCTGGCTTCAAACTTGTGATCCTCCTGCCTCAGCCTCCTGACTTGCTGGGGTCACTTATGTGCACCACCACAGCTGCCTATGTCTTTTTTTATTTATTTTTTAAATATTTATTTATTTATTTTAGTTTTAGTTGGACATAATACCTTTATTTTATTTATTTATTTATATGTGGTTGCTGAGGATCGAATCCAGGTCCTCGCACGTACTAGGTGAGCACTCTCCCGCTGAGCCCCAGCCCCAGCCCATTATCTTTTTATTTTTTAAGTGGTGGCTTTATGGATAATGTTACATATGTTTAACTCATCACAATCGCCTTCAGTAACATTGGACCACTTCAATGTGAGAACTGACCACCGAAGTGCGGCCCTGCCCTGTCCTTTGTGCGAAGTTATCACTTGCTTTTCCTCTACACCTGGTACGTCTGACAACAAGCTTTATTATTTTGATAGAGTTCATTGCCCTTTTTCTTTAGAGCTTCATTGAGGTTTGTAAGCAGTGACACTGTCCTAAGTGTGCACTTCAGTCATTTGTGGTGGCCTTGAAGACTTGTACCTACCATCACCATGAGCCCTTTGCTAGAACGTTGCTGCCACCCCTGGATCCCCTCCACCCTGCTGACGCTGGGTCTCCCCCGACCCCAGCCCCAGGCGACACTGGGTTAATTCTGGTAGAATGAAGCCCCATCCCACTTCCCTCCGCTGCTGTTTGGTCCTCGTGGATTGCATGGCCTTGCTACAACCCCATGACGTGGGCGAGGAGCACGCTCTATCTAAGGGGTTCACAGACTACAGCCTGTACCCCGATGAGCCAGCTGCTTCTGTAAGTCAAGTCTGGATGAAGTGCAGTCACGCTGTGCCCACCCAGCGTCCAGGCAGCTGCAGCTCGCACAAGAAAAGTGCAACTGCGGGCTTCACACGGTCCTGCTAGATAAGTTAGTGAGAAGTGCTGCCAGATGTGCACCGGACACTTCTGTCAGTGAGGGGGCCCGGGACAGCTGTGCTGTGAGATCAGGTCACCTCGGGGCGGTGGCCTCCTGCTTGAGGACACACTATGATGCCCACACGTGTCGAGGCTGGCTCTCGACCGGTTTCCCCGTGTGACGGACGGCCCTGGTCTTTTCTCTTCTGCGTCTCGGCCGCAGCCTCCTTTCTCTCCGGCCGTGCTGCCCCGGAGCTCTCTGAGGTCTGTTGGTTCCCCTGCTTCTCTGCCTCTTCACCTTGTGCAGTTTCTACTAACCTCCAAGTGGACAGCTCTTTCTCTGGGCTCCTCAGACCTGCAGTTGAGCCGCTCTGGGGCAGACTCACCTTGGGAATGTCTGTCCCGAGTCTCCCTTCCCTCCAGCTGTGACAGGCTTTCGGTGGGTAGTCGCCGGCATCAAGGCGCCTCCTGTGGCGGTTCAGAGACAGGGTCCGCTGGCGGCCTGCTCCTTGGCTGGGGCTGTGCCTGAGGTCTCTGTGCGTCTTGTCGTTTATCGCCGAGTGCTGGACGTTGAGGTCAGGTGTTGTGTCAGCTCTGCATTCTGACTTCACCCCCGCTGGGGTGGGCCACTCACTTCTGTAGCTATTTTCTTGACCAAATGTGCCAAGTGTGAGCACAGTGTGGCAGCTCCCCAGCTCCAGCACACTACTGTCCAGCCTCATGCCACAGCCTCCCCACCCAGTGGCTGTGGCTCTCCCCGGGACTCAGTGTCCACCTCCCTGTATGCCATCTGGCCCACCCACCAGTGTGTCTCCACCAACACCTCTCTTCCCACAGTGTCTGGCCGGCAGCTGCAGCCCGAGGATCCAGGTGCAGCTACTGAGGAGGACCGCACTGTAAGTGGGACCAGGGAGGGAGTGCGTCCACCTTGCAGCCTGCCTCCAGGCCTTCTGGCCTGGCCAGAGCCTGGGGGCTAACAGGAACTCGACTCTCTCCTTCTGCCAGGTGACTGAAGGGCCTGTGGACGAGGTCATTCGGCCACGGCCACAGGGGTCCTCCCCTGTCTACGAATGCACAGCAGAAGGCACTGGCTTTGGAGTCCAGGTGAGCCCCGGGCAGAGCTCACAGGCCGAGACAAGGCCTGGGCGCCGGGCCCTGCACCACTCTCCCTCCCGATCACCTGTGTGGGCGGCCCACATGCATGTCTCTGTACAGCACCCTGCCCTGTCTGCTGCCACCAGGCCACAGCTGTGCCCATCACTGTCCCCTCTGGGTCCCCTGACATGGAGATGCCTGCGGCATCTGTGTGGTGGGGCACAGGCCCAGGCTCCCAGGGGTGGGGCCAGGGTGGGACACGGGACGTGTGCACATGTGCAGCCTTTGGGGAGGACACAGGCCCCCGTGGAGGAGGACAGGAGGGGCCATCAGAGGAGACGCGTCCTCAACAGATGGCATCCTGCCTTTGGAGATCCTCCTCTGTACTGACCTCCAGTGCCACAGGGCTTGCGGGGGAGCTGAGGCTGGCCTCAAGTGGAGGAGGCCCTGCGCGGCCTTTTCCCTGGTGGCCCCCAAGGGACACAGCTCCCTCTGCACCCAGCTGCACCCCTGCAGCTCCTGAGTCCCTCGGCACTGGGGTCTGCTGCCTGGAGCCTTCTGTTCTCCCGGAGCAGGGCCAGGTGGGTGGAACCTTCTCTCCTGCCTGTCCCAGGGTGGGTGGTGGGTAACTCCCAACCCTGTGGCTACAGGAAGACGCCCCGGGACGGCGAGGCTCCTCAGGGAGGCGGAGGTCCTGGTGGAAGCGGGCCTCGGGGGACTCGCAGGTCTTCTCCAGGATGAGCCACCCAGAGGTTGGTATGCCAGACCCAAGGCGCTGGGAGGGTGGCGGGCAGCAAGGAGACCGGCAGCGTCCCTGGGTCCCAGGGGGGGCAGGGCGACGGGAGGCCCCAGTGACGAGGGCCCTGGGTGTGTAGTCCTCATCACGCCCCCATCCAGAGGGGTGGTGCCAGGTCAGGCACCTGCACGGATTGCAACCAGAAGCTTCAGAGCTCTCTGGGTACCCTGAGGGGTGTGGAGGCCTCTGCTGGACACAGAGGCCACCATCATGTCCAACGTGGGTGGCCTGCCTCCCTTCCCTGTGTTGGCCTCAGGCCTGTGGCCCTGCTTGATTTGAGCACTGGGTGCTGCATGTGTCCAGTGCATCATTTGCGAAGGAAGGCAGGCTTGACCACAGTGCCTGCAGGGCCGTCCTCTCTGCTGGACAGGGGCAGCCAGTCCTGGCAGGCTGGGTAAGGCCGTGGGAGGCAGCTCCTACCTGAGGCTCTCTGTAGCCGGCGGACTTCAGTGCTGGGACAGTGCAGCCTGCGTCCATCTGAAAGGAGCCCCCACCTCTGCCTGTGGTGCCCATGGTGACAGGTGGATGGTGTGGTCCCCTTCTTGGGAGTCGCCAGCCCCTAGAACTGATGGCACAGCTCACCGTGGCCCTGATGTGCTTCTACTCCAGGCTGTGCGGGAAGTGACAGAGGAGACACTGGAGACTGAGGTGGAGGCAGGAGCCAGTGGTTACAGTGTCACAGGTGGGGGACACCAGGGGATCTTTGTCAAGCAAGTGCTGAAGGACTCCTCGGCAGCCAAGCTATTCAGTTTGAGAGAAGGTACAATGGCCAATCCATCCGTTTCCCCATCATCTGGGCAAAGATGGCCGGGGCATGGAAGGGACCCGGAGGGGGCAGGGCCACACCTAGATTCAGGACCACCCCGTCATGTCTCTACTTGTCTGCCCCAGGCTGGGCCACCCACAGCTCCTCTTGGCCGTGCCATGGAGAGAACCCCCATTTCCCCCTGTTGCCCCAGGGCTGGGGGTCCCAGTACCCCCGACTTGGTGGGAGTGGGAACTAAGCCAGAGCTGTTCCTTTATCCTCTAGGGGATCAGCTGCTCAGTGCCACCATCTTCTTTGACGACATTAAATATGAAGACGCTCTCAAGATACTTCAGTACTCGGAGCCTTACAAGATCCAGTTCAGAATCAAACGGAAACTGCGTGCCCCAGAGGGTGAGGAGCTGGCCGTCTCTGGCCCTTGGCAAGACTCCAAGGGCAAGGAGCAGGTAAGGCCCCTTCAGCAGGCAAGGAGAGGCTGCAGAGGCTGCCCCGCGTCCTCGTGCACAGGGCACCAGGCTCTGCGCCAGCTCCAGTGAGTTCCCTCCCCTGTGTTTCAGGACAAGGATGTGGCTGACGAGTGTACAGAGACCCCGACGAAGACACTGGAGGCAGATGGTGACCGGGAGAGGCTCATCTCCAAGCCCAGGGAGAGCCGTGGCAGGCGCCCCCACGAAAGGCTCTCCTGGCCCAAATTTCAAGCCCTAAAGAGCAAGCGGGGGCCTGGACCTCGACGTTCACACAGTTCCTCCGAGGCACACGAGCCTGGAGATGCGCGAGACGTGTCCCCGACAAGCACAGACACAGAGGCCCAGCGGCAGGAGGAGCTCCGGGCACAGAAGGCAGGGCCAGGCCGCCAGAGGAGGAGGAAGTTCCTGAACTTCAGATTTAAGATGGGTTCAGGACAGGAACCCTCTGCCGCCGGGCAACTGGGCAGAGAGGCCCACGGCAGGCCACATCCTGCTGGGGTGCTGGGGGAAATGGGCCCCTGGGAGGATGGGCCAGGGGCCACAGGGGCTCCCGCGGGAGGCAGGCCTGAGGAGAGAGCACAGTGGCAAGAGGCTGGGCCGCCTGTGCAGCAGGGAGTGGAACCAGGCCTTCCAGCACACGTCCTTGGTGACAGAGCTCCTGCAGAAGGGGTAGGGATGGCTGCCAGGGGCCAAAGGGAGACACAACCCGTGAGCACCCAGCACAAGGCAGGGGAGCACAGCAAGCCCAGGAGCGGCATTGGCGCAGGCCGCAGGATGAGCTGGGAGCAGGAATGGGAAGAGATTCAGAGCCTGGAAACAGGGATAGCAAGACTGTCCCTGTTGGACACCCAGGACGCAGGCAGCTCACAGACACACGGACCAGAAACACAGGTCCAAGGACGTGACTTAAAGACACCCAAATTTGGAATTTCCAAAGAAAAAGTAACAAAGACAGGAAAAGGTGGCAAAGGACTTGAAAAGAAGAAGGGAAAGCAGACGTCACCAGGAGAGGACGAGAGGGGCAGGACAGAGGCCACTCCAGAAGAGGACACACCAGTGGGCACAGGGCCCCAGGCAGACGCTGCAAGGAGGAAAGAACAAGAAGAGAAGACACCAAAGACACCGCAGGACAAGGGGGAGACACAGCAAGATGAGGACCCAGAGAGGAGGGGGGCCAAGGCGAAGATGCCCAGGGCCCCAAGGAGCTCCACGGGACGGTCACCAAGTCGGGAAGGGAGAGCAAGCCCCCCGAGAGCAGGAGGGGAAGGGAAACGGGAGGCGGCCCATGAAGACAGGAGGACGACGAGGGGACCTCACGCGGTGGGCCCAGGAGACGCCCTGCCAGGGGAAGAGCAGGAGCAGAGACAAGTGGGAGCGACACAAAAGAGAGACGCGGCGACCACAGAGGAGAACATCAAGAAGGGACACAGGGACCAGGACGCAGGAGAGGGCCAGCTCAGAAGGCCCACGTTCAAGATGCCCTCCTTCAGCGGGTCCGCCATCGGCCCAGCCTGGGACGCGTCTGTGGAGGTGAGGGCACCCAAGGCGGAGGCTGATGTGGCCTTGCCTTCCACACAGGGTGACCTCAGGAGCCCTGACCTCAGCATCCAGCTGCCTGCCATCAACCTGGACACCAGGGATGGCCAGGTGGACGTGACTCTCCCCAAGGCCACCTTGCCTGAGGGAGACCTTCTGGCAGACCCTGACTCTGGAGCCGGCCTGAAGGGGCACCTACCCAAGATGCAGATGCCCAGCATCAAGATGCCCAAGGTGGACCTTAAGGGCCCCCAGGTGACCATCAAGGGCACCAAGCTGGACGTGAAAGGGCGCAAGGGTGAGGTGAGTGCCCCCAGCCTGGATATGAAGCTGTCTGCTGGGAAGATGGACATACAGGCCCCCAGTGCCA